GTATGCTAGAACAAGACGCCCTGTACAACACGCCCGTGTGATTCTGGTTCGTGGGAGACAATTGGCTGTTGTGTGAAAACAGAAGAAGAAAAATACGTCCCGTGATAGTCTTTTGTTTGTGTTTCCATTCGTTCCTTCGGCGCCAATCACCAAAACACCAGAACCAAGGTGGCAGAAAAAAACAAAGGCCACTCGACCCGACCCGGCCCGCGTCGAGTTGCTCGAGTTGCCGTTTGGTCTATTTGTATTAACGTGCCAGAATGTACTATCTGTCGGGTGAATCACTCATCTCTCCTCTCTTCGGCGCTTCGGGCTATCCATCGTATCCGTACCAGAAGTCAAGATACACGGCAAGCAAATAACACCTCTATTCGTACGCCTTATCACACCCCTTCTCCTCGCCTCCCCCAACCACCCTACCCACTTCCCCAGTTCCCTCCATAATTGGCCGAGCGGCTGCCTGCATGAGTTTTCCCTTTCGGTCCTCTTCTACGTCACGTAAAACATATGTCGCAGGTACTTGTCCCCGACATCGAGTTTATGCTTCCTTTTGCCTGTCTCGTTTTGGTCTACTCAAGAGGAGCATAGGCGTCATTCAGGGAACTGCCCACTATTTGATCCTCCAGGTTTTGTCTTTGTATTACAGCAGGCCGGGATCAGGCGGTCAACATGGTTCTCGGGTAACAAATCCTTCCTCAAATGCGCCGATTGCCTCCTTTTATTTTGATTATATTGTACGTGCATGGTGCAAAAGGGATGTTACACGCTCGGGCCAATGCTTCGGACGTTTTGGAGGGACTCGGAGAATGGGTAAGGGACCATCCATCCATCGCAGGTGGGCAGAGGTGAAAATCCAGGGCAGCACAAACCTATGAACACCGTATCCGCCTTATACCTCCTCGCCGATAATTGCAGCTAAGCCAGAAGAAACAGACTAAAAAGTAAGGCGGAGCAAAAGGAGCCAATGCTGTGAGAGAGTGAGGGAGAGAGGCAGACGTGCACTCTCCCGTGAGCACAGCAATACGTATCAATAAGATCATGCTTTTTATTTAGAAATACTTTCCATTCGGTGGTGCCATTTGAATTTCAAATGATAACAAGACAAAATTGGCTTGACCCGAAAGATATAAAGACGCCTGCGTCCACCCTCACCTCCTCAGAGCTTCTCGAGTCGGTCAAGGCGAGAATCAGCCTGACCATCTGCTTGACATTTTGCATTATATATACAACACCTCACCAACAAACTCAACTATCGCCATTATTCTCATACCTCATTCACAGCCACACAATACCATGGCGACAGCAACGTCAAATCTTACATTTGTTTCCCATTCCAAGGCTGGAAACGATGGCTCAAAAGACAATAAACCTGGCCCGGTTGACCCTCGTAAGTTCTTTTCTCTTTTTATTTCTCCTTTTCCTCTTTGTCTTCTTTTTTATTTTATTTTATTTTTTCTGTTCCCTCCATTTTCTCCTCAGCGTCCACTGTATCTCGATCACATGACTTTACCGAGCTGCGTCGTTTATTACGGAACCCGGACCCCTTGTGGAAGAACCAGACATGAAAGACAAAAAGAAGCATAAAAGTCCCACACCATAACAAAACACACATCGCCGCCTTCTAGAAAGCTTGAGTGTCGTGGATGCTCTATTCATCTCCTTCTCCTACAAGTACCCAACATCGTCCTATACTGTTGTCCCAGTGTCGAGAATCTGACCATCATTGTGCTCTTTGTGTTTCTTTTCCCCTCGTCACTTTACAATGGCCTCATTTTCTTTTGTCTCGCGTCACCTGCTGCATTCCAAAGAGACGGTCAGCGTCGTTACAGATACCCTTGCATCCCGCCGCAACCGCAGGTACATTTCAAGCTCCATCGGCGCTCCTCTCTCGACGCTCCTCTCTTGCTTCTGTTACACCAAGTCGGGCCATCTCTCACCTCCTCTGATTCGTCGCTTCCTCCTATTTTGAATACAGAAAGACACTCATGTGGTCTGTTGCGTTCGTCCGTATGACCACTTGGAGCGAGAAACGAGGACGTCACCGCTGCCACTTCTCACACAACCCATGCCTACCTCGGAGCTGCTTCTTGTTGATTTGACTCGTTCGCCACTCGTTGATTTGTTATTTCCTTTCATTTCCTTTCTTACAGTATCACGTCACCCAAGACACCACTGACCGCTATTTTGCATAGTCTACGGGAAATAGGATTTTTTTGTCTTCCCTTCCTTGCCCCAAGGAGGAGACATTTGATGAACGTTCACCGTTCTCGAGGCATCTCTTTTCTTTCTTTCTTCCTCCATCGACCTCAACTACTATAGGATGAGCTTTTGCTCTGGTAGCAAATGTCTGGTTGGCCGTTTTCGGGTTTTTATTCAGCTGAACTATATATGAGACTGGGTGGCCTTCAATAAGGCTGTCTTACATCTTGTTTCCCTTTCGTTTGCACTGGTTTTTATTTTGTGTTTTGTTCCTCATTTGGATGTGAGACTGTTGTGATGGATGGTGGCGGATGTGAATGATTGAACCAGATTGATTCTTCTTCGTCACTCTCTATAGGGGTCGTTTTTTTATTCTACTTTTTGGTATTATGATATAGCAAGCTTACAACAATTACAGAATCGCGCCTCCCGGCAGCATTTACACATTTTGAGTCCCACCATATCGAACATCAAGTCTCATAAGCAGAAATCATTATCGGTCCTCTGGCTAGTAGCCCAGGACACACTCTCTCCAGGATAGATGACTGTAGCACGCCTTCGGTACACATGTCCAGGAGATTGTGCATGCTACCACGTTGGAACAAAGCAACGTAGCAGTCGCCTTACCAACGAATACACAAGACCTCTTCTTTATAAACCAGCGGTCACGAGAATAGCGGCAAACAAAGTGACGTATGCCAAATCTGAGGACGGGCAGTGTGCAGCTTTTTTTTTCTCGCTCGGTGGGGGTCACATTTGTTTTCCACATGTTTTCTGTATTTGTACTCGCGATTACAACATTTCAAAACAGGGTCAGCCTCAGAATAGTATAGAAGAAAAGACAGGGAATATGTTTGTGCAGCGTCGAACGGAATGAATGACCAATATTTTGCACCTTGAACCGCCGACTACATGTTCAGGGTCCTCTCTTGATGACCATTTGTGGATACACAACGTTCACCGCCGACAGAGCGGCTTTATACTTCTTTCGGAATGCATCGTAACTGTGTATTTGTCCCGTCTTTGGATTTAAAGAAGTACCAAATAAGAACAAATAAAACTCTTCGGGATATCGAAGTAAAATATAAAAACAATTTTAAGACGCTTCGATGACGAAGACTATCCATCTACTCAGAAGAGCATTAAGGAATTTTTTGTAATTCGTACACGTCTGAAAGCAAACTAGCCATCAATAATGGGGCTCCCCTTTCAGACACCACAGCTTGGTCATAGAGCAAGACTTACAAATGAAAGTGCAGATGAAAGCGTGGCACTTGCCAGGACCAACCAGACCCCTGCCGGCATACGGAGTTTTACATGACCACGACATGACTGGTAGCAGGAATGACGTATATTGTGGTCCAAGACCCTTTTTTTGTGTTCATCGTGTCTCACGTGTCTCCAGAGCATCGTTGTGTCTATCGTGTCTTTTGTGCCGGCTGTGGCATGACCGTGATTGTGTTTAGTTTCTTTGTCTGCCATCACGCACCACGTAGGATCAACTCTGCCATTTTTGCTGACATGTCCTTGGACACCTTGTTGTCCTGTTTTGCCTTTTGTCGTAGTGTGTGCGTTGCCGGCGCATATGTTGTACGGCAGTCGGGAGTCCCACGGCACGACCGTCGAGGCGCGACATTTCTAGGATATGCCTAAGCTCGGACCGGGCGACCTCTGGGGAAGCCGTCGGCTCGGCGATGCTCTCGGGCTGCACTGGGTGGGAGGAGAGGACTGACTGTCTTAGGAGCAGATGTTGCTCGAAGTGAACTCGGGCCCCGGTTGCTCTTTCCTCTTCAAGAAAAAATGCCAACTAGCAGTGTCCTTGTGTGCGGGAGCGAGGCTTTACCCGCAGCCAATAGGTGGAGACGCTAAACCTATTTTGAACCCCTCTCAAGCCATTTGCAACTTGTCGTCCTTCGTCGGAATCATCCGCGTCGGCAGTCACGAGGCGTTGTCATGATGCGGTAAACGCTACCACGTCGACAACTCGCCAGAGACTGCTGTCACCGCGCAGGGACCCAAGCTTCCAACGTGTCTGAACTTGTCATAGCGGCTGTAGCTGCAACTTTGGTTCTCCGTCTCATGAAGCCCCCATTTTCCCCACCCGCGTTTCGGATGTCCGACAAGCTTTTTTGTTGATTTAAAAGACAGTTAGTCGATGTTGGAAGCTCCTTTTTTTTCACACTGGTTCTTGGAAAGCCCCCGTCATACCTACGTCTGCGTTTTGATCCGATTGATCTGCTGCTTGGCATAAGGATGCTTAGTTCCTACTCCCTGCTTTCTGGCACGCTCAGACTCGATATTCTTCGGCTCAGATTGCCTCAAGACGTGCCGCACAATACAGCGTGATCTTCGAACGCACTCTGTCCTATTCTCGTATCTTTTTTGTTGCCGGGCCTCTGGGCATGTCATTGACCCAATGTTTTCCGTCGTCGATTTTGAGCCGTTCTTTTCTTGTAATTTATCTTGGGACTCTTGTACTTTCCATCCCATCAACCTTCCCCTCCCGCTCGTTTCCTACTACGATCTACGGTACCTCGTCTATTTTTCTTGGTGTTTGGCTCAACTCCACTCCAATTAATTTGTAGCAAAGGTAAGGCAGCACACGGCGCTTTGCAGAAGACACGCGTTCGCTTGAAATGGTGCCGGCTGCCCATGCGAGCCCGTAATCGCGTCTTTGATTTCGACAATTGTGGTATAGATGCAGCGGATGCCCCATCCACACCGACCCCCGTCTTGATACTGGTACAAGCTGTTCGCTTGTGCTTCTTTTTTTTTTTTTGGTCATCGATCCTATAGCAGCCATGGCACCGACATGGTCATCACGGCCCTGCCGGGCAGCTGTTGCGTTCTTGGCCTTGGCACGATTGGGGGTTGTTGCGCACGAGTCGATTTCCAACCAAGTCAGCCTAGGTATCTGTCGCAAAGCAACACCAGGACTGGAGTTTGCGGTGTGCGCGCAGAGCGGCGGGCGCATAGCGCCGATAACAAAAGAGGACAGCAGCAGCAGGAGCGCCAGCAACGGCATTTGGTCACGGACGACGCCCTGCTATAAGAACAGCACCGACGGCACCGAGTACTGCGTCTATACGAGCGAGTCATTCGCCGAGGGCCACGGCATTACGGTCATGACGTCGCCCGCAAAAGCTGTGCACTTTGCACAGCTGCCGGCCTTTGCCGACCCAGAGACCGTCCGCGGCATCAACCGCGACATTGTGTACGAGAGCGAGCACGGCCACCGCAGCGACCAGCCGCCACTGAGCTACCGCGTGGAGGCCATGCCGGGCAAGGGGTTCGGTGTGGTGGCGACCAAGTACCTGAACCGGGGCGACCTGATTATGAGCACGACGGCGTCGGTGGTGATTGACTATGCCTTGTTTGAGTCGATCCCTGATGAAGATGTGGTGCGGATGCAGACGGTGGCCGTGGACAGTCTTCCGCCGCGGCACCACGCGCGGTTCATGAACCTGTCGACGCACGCCGCGACCGAGGGCCACGAGCAGATTGTGAACAAGATCCTGGCCACAAACGCCTTTGACATTGAGACGGACGACGACGACGAACGCGGCTACTTTGTCGTGTTCCCAGAGAGTACGTGGCCGGTGCAGAGAGGGGACTGGCTGTCCGGACGACGTATACCGAACGGCGCTGAGCACCTACTGACCTCGTCCCAGTCTCCCGCCTGAACCACGACTGCCGGCCCAACGCCGACTACCACTTTGACTACGACACGCTGACCCAGCACATCCACGCCGTGCGGCCCATTGCTGCGGGTGAAGAGATTACCGTGTCGTACATGGAGTACGTCGTTCCGTCGCCCGCGCTTTTTTGTGGATTTGTGGATCTATCTGTTCGCCTCTCGCTAACCTCCCTCCCTCACAGCCTGATCAAGCCGAGAAAGGCGCGCATGGACAAGCTCAAGCACACGTGGGGCTTCGAGTGCGGCTGCTCGCTGTGCACCCAGAACCGGCCGATGACCAGGGCCTCGGACGCCCGCATCGCGCAGATCCTCGACCTGCGCGACGAGTTCCGCGACTACACCGTCACGTCGCGCGCCACGCCGCAGATGGCCGAGCTGTTTATCAGTCTGTTTGAGCAGGAGCGCCTGGACGCGATGCTCTACGAGGCGTACTCGTACGCAGCCGTGGAGTACAACGGCGACGGCGAGCCGTGGCTGGCGACCAAGTACGCGCGCCTGGCGATCGAGGCCGGCCTGATGAGCGTCGGAACGCACGATGCGGACGTGGTTGAGATGCGGCAGCTGGCGGCGGACCCATGGAAGCACTGGAGCTGGATGCTGCGCAAGAGCCGGCGGCTGCAATGGGGCAAACAGGAAAAGGAGGCCAGGGAGAAGGACAAGCCCAAGACGGAGTAGGCTGGTCGAGATGCCAAGGGAAAAGGGCGCGGAGGGCGAGCTGGAGAGAGTTGAGAGAGTTGGGAGAGCTTCGCGTCACAGGAAAACGTACAAAGGCGGCAAATACTCGTTCGATGGTGACTGTGTGGAATTGCCTCTTCATGGAAGTCAATGTTCAAAACCTCCCGGTGGCTCCCTGTTTGAAACACTGGTCGACACACCAACACGCGTAAAGTGGTCCTGGCGTGGGTGACTGTTGGCGATGAGGCGCTTCTGGAAAAAGAAAAAGATAAGAGAACGGCCTAGTTCAGGGCCCTGGCCCACAGGGACGAGTCCAGTAATTACAGAGCGTGACACTGTGTCGCCCAGCGGGTTTGCGGGGCGCTGGGCCAGTGCGGGGTCGAGGAATCGCACCTGCCTGCACACCACTCATCGATGACGAAAAGGGAAGGGAGGCGCGACCTGGTTGGTAGTTTCCGCGTTTGCACCAGGCCAGACCCAACGCTAATATTAGTACAACAGTGCAACTAGGCCTGCTTCGAAGACAGGGCGTGCCTTGGAAGTCGCCGCAGCAAGGAAGGTGCAATCTGTGCCAACGAAGTGGAATAATACGACGGGGAAGGTGCTGTTCTGCTGTGGCTCTTTCCCAACTTGCGACTCGCCATCATCTCAACAAGCTCCCTGCCGTTCCTCTTTGCGTTTCTCTTCTCCTTCTCAAGCATTCGGGCACACCGTCCACCGTACCAACACCTACCACATAACCCTCTTCTGATCCCTCGTCTCGTCATGGCAGACTCGACCGCAACAGCAGCGCCGGCCCCGGCCACCGCACCGGCGCCTTCTGACGCGGCATCCGAATCAATCGAGGCCCTGATTGCGGCTCGGCCGCCAGCGACCGATCGCTTCACATACCTGACCCTGATCGAGGAGCACCTGTCGCCCGCGGTGCTGCCCACCCTGCATGCCGTCCTGCAGGACGCCCCGCTGACCCAGGAGCTCGGCTGGGACCTGGTCGACATGTTGGTGCCGCTGCTGCCCGCCTCCGAAGCGTGCCTCGACGACGTCGCCCGTCTCGGCAACCCTCGTGAGGTCATCCTCAAGGTGCTCGAGATCCTGGAGCGACTGGCACCGAGCAGCAGCCATGGCGGCAACGGTGCGGGCGACTTTGACGATGACGACGACGTGGACGACGAGGAGGACAGCAAGGCGCCAAAAGACACAGAGGCGACGACAGTGGCATTCGTCGCCCTCTTGGGCATGCTGGCCATCCTCCACCGCCGCCTCAAGACAAAGTACCCGTCGCGGTTCCTCGAGACGACCCTGCGCACGATTCTCGCTGCCTACCGGCCGACAAACGCGGCCATGACCACGGCCATCATGGGCTTGGTGCGGTCCCTGGCGGCGCGCCGCCGGCCAGCGCCGCCCATGCGCCGGTCCGACTCCCAGCTGAGCGAGCTGGCCCTGGCCAAGTCCGCCTCGCCGTCGTCCGCTGCGACGGCCACGGCCGCGGCCATTACCGCTGCCGATGCCGCGAATGCCGCCAAGGCGGCCAGCAGGAGTGCCATTGGCAAAGTGGGTGCCGACTACGACCGCTCGGACGACGCCGCGGCCAGCGTGCCAGATCCCGAGGCCGAGGAGCAGGTGGCGCCGTCCGAGGGTGACATCCAGCAGCGGCTGCTGCAGTCGTTTGTGACCTGCATCCTCGAAGCCTACGTCAACGCCAACGATGTGGCCTGGGCGCCGCGTCTGATTGAGTTTTACTATCCAAAGCGCGTCGTGCCGGGCCGGCCTACCGAGCTGAGCGATTTCCGGGAAGACCCCAGCAAGATTGCGCGGGATGCGTCCGTCAGCCAGCTAGTTGTATGTCCTGTCTACCCTGGCTCAATTTCTTTTTCTCAAAATATCGCTAACAAAGCGTAGGCCCTTGCCCTGGACCTAGGACTCAAGTACTCAGACGCACTGGTTGCGAGCGTCTCCAAGGGTCCTGAGCGGCGCAACCCATTTGCCGACCTGGACGTAGCGGAGGGTGGTGTAGACAGCATTTCGCTTTCCACGGGCGGTGTTATTTGCCTGCTGGCCTACTGGGTCTTTTCCTCGGACGTGTTCAAGTCCGATGCCGCCGTCCCCAACCTGCGCGTCTTCCCCGATTACTACGCCATCCTCGAGACCTTTCTCGACGGCAACGCCGGCGCCCAGATTGCGCAGTGGCCGGGCACCGTCGAGGCCCTTGTGGCCATTGGCCTGTGGCTCGACCACCACAAGCTGTACAGCCGGGGCACCGACACCGTTGCTGCTGCCCGCGCTTCGTACGCGGCCGACGACTTTATGCCCTACCACCACCTGCTGACGCTCTGCTCCGTGTTCCACCCGTCGCTGGCCGTGCGCAATGCTGCCACGACACTCGCGGGTTCCGTGCTCCACGCCAACCCGGACGCCGAGGACCGGCTCAAGATCTTGCAGGACCTGCTGGAGAACTGCATGTTTGCAAGTCTCAAGGCATGTGCCGTAACATGGCTGCGCGAGGAGATTGTGGCGGCCACGGCCGAGACGGCCGCGACGACCGAGACAGCCGACGACAAGACTCTGTTTGGCGGGCCGGACGCCGTCGAGCAGCTGCAGTACGCCATCTTCCCGGACCTGCAGGCGCTGGCAGCGGCCGATGCCGACAAGGCGTCGTCGACACTGGTCGAGTACTGGCTGCAGAACGCGCCGTTCCTACTGCAGGCGGCCAACTTTGCCTATTTCCTGTTCTGCTCCGACAAGCTCAAGGCTACGGTCGTACCGCCGGGCATGGGCCCGGCCATTGAGCAGCGGTATGTGGAGCCGCTGCTGCAGGCGGCGACGCGCCTGCGCAACCTTGTGGGCGGTGAAGCGACGGCGGCGGCGGCGGCGGCGGCGGCGGCGGGCAGCGGTCGGGGCGGTGGTCACGGCCATGGCCACAGCCATGATGACAAAGACGGAAACGTTGGACTGCAGCATGCCGTGGTCGACCTCGACGTGCTGACCAGCCGCCTGAGCAGCATACGCTTTTCATGAGAGGTGGTGGCGACGCGACGATGACGGATGACCGACGTGGATGTGTTCCCTTCCTCCCAATTCCTTTTTCTTTCGTCTTCTGTTTGATTTGTCGTGGGCAAAATGAAACGAACACGAAAAATTTACGTCATCCAAAATATACGAAACAGGCGATTTGGGACGGAAATTGTATGATTAGAATTTGGACGTCGTTTCGAGAGCTCTTTTATTTTGACCGTGAATTTTGACAATAGTTTTTTGCTGGCATAAATCATTTCAAGGCTGTCGGTTCAAGTTCCCTAATTAGGAAAATGGTGTCAAAGCAGCAGTGTGACGTCTCGAGGGCTGATTCTATTTAGTGGAGGTTGCTCTGTGATAATCTTAGCTCGTGCATCCACTGCCGTAATCGACGCTGATTTGCAATCAAAATGTGTGTTGTGGAAAAACGAAAGTACGACAACCACTTCCCGTTTTTGGTAACTTACCAACGGCTTTCGGCCCTTTCACCAAATTCGTGCACTTACAACCTAAGGCATTAAAAATCAGTTCAGGCGAAAACATTTTCACGTTAATCCGTAGTTTGTCATTCACAATGTTATTAATTGTTTCTTTTCCCTTCTGAAAATAAAATTCGCCGTATCAGGGGAGAAAAGGGATATGTTGCCACCTCTGAATTGCTTCAGCTTGACCTGGTTCTCTGTCACGTCGTATTTTTGACCGATACGTCTACTCTGACACGTTGGCCGCGGTATCTTGCTTTCTGCTCCGTAGTCCGTTGAATGGCGTATTAGTCCCATTTCAAAGAGACTACAGGGGTCGGAGAAGAACAAACAAAACAATAAAAAAAAAAAAAAATACAAATGCAGCAAAGCCCTGAATAGAAGTGCAGTTTTTCTTTCAATTTTTGCTTAGGAAGTGTTCAACTGCACCGAATCTTCAGAAGCATTGTGACGCAATGTTGGATGAAGCGGTCGGGTAAGCACCAACCGCGAGCGAGTCCGATGGTAGGTTGCGCCCCACAACGGCAGCATCACCTCTGGACCCCGGACTTCGGCACGCAGCTATTCCCGTCCAGAGTTCAGACCACCACCATTCTCACGTTTCCTGTACTAAAGTGTGGTAATCCACCCCATTTCTTTCGCTCCCGTTCTGCAGTGGGGCATTTCTAAGCCAAGGCCCACCTCCTAGCTTTTGGCTGCCACCCACGACCACTGCCTCGCCTTTTTTTAGCTTCCTCTTTCGAATGAGTAATAAGCTCGCTCTTTTCGCGCTCTCTCGCTGTGGAAATAAGGACTCTCCATGAGGATATCCGGCTGGGTCGTGTTTTGGGCCATGGTTTTGTCCCCTCGTTATTTTTTTTTTTTTGATTATTCTCCTAGACTCCGCATCTTGTATTTGTCTTGCAGTCGTTTCAAAGCAGAAAACGATTCTGGCCGTTTCTCTGCCTCTGGCTACTTGTATAAAGACCTCGCACATTGTCTTGTGCGCAAAGTCCATGGTGGTTGAAGCGACAAGCACCTATCCAGATCTACACCACTCTACCAGGTCGATTCACGCCTCGTCCATCACTGTCATACAAAAGATAACATTGTCTTGCCTTAACTCTTCGCCACAGACTTCGACGCGATACCTCTAACGACTACTGTGCCGTACTTCAACCGTCGGAACATCCTCCGTGTCTTGACGTCGCCAGGCATATGCAACGATCGTGCAGCAACGACAAACCAGCAGGACAGCTTCTGACCGTACCGAGGTCTCGACAATCGAGTTCCGTTTCATGGACATGGATAGCAACGAAGACCCGATGGCTTCTTCAAGCTCCGACTCGGAAATAAAGGAGACACGGCAACGGAGTAGAGACGACCGCCCCGAGATGGTCGACGAGGAAAAGGCAGACGACACAGCAGACGCGCCATCGTACGGTGACGAGGAAAAACCACAAGAGCCGGCAGCCACACAGCCCGTGCAGGGAGCCTTGGCAACAGCCGCTGCAAACGCGGGCGACGCCCCGCCAGCGGCACAGGTGGCTCCCATTCCCGATGGCGGTGTCCGCGCTTGGCTGCAGGTCCTCGGCAGCTGGGTCGTCATGGTCGAGACGTTTGGCATCGTGAACACGTTTGGCGTGTACGAGACGTTCTATGAGACGGACTTGCTGGTCGGCAAGAACGGCGGCTCAGCCACGGACATTGCATGGATCGGCTCGCTGCAGGTCGCTCTGCTGCTGATGGGCGGCGTCATTGCGGGCCCGTTGTACGACGCCGGCTACTTCATCTACCTCATCGCCATCGGTCAGTTCCTGATCGTCTTTGGGCTGTTCATGACCTCGCTGTGCACCGCGTACTGGCAGATCATTCTGGCGCAGGGCGTGGTCGTCGGCCTGGGCATGGGCCTCACCTTTACGCCGTCCAACGCCATCCTGTCGCAGTACTTTCTCAAGAAGCGCGCGCTGGCCATCGGCATCAGCTCGTCCGGCAGCCCGCTCGCGGGCATCGTCTTCCCGATTCTGTTTTCGCGCGTGCAGCCGCAGCTGGGCTACGCCTGGGCCACGCGCATCATCGCCTTCATCCTGCTGGGCCTCGCCATCGTGCCTGTTGTTTTTATGCGGCCCCGCATCGCCGTCAGCCACGGCCGTCGCGCCCTCATCGACACGTCCGCCTTCAAGGAGCTGCCGTTTATTGCCGTGGTGATTGGCAACTGCCTGGTGTTCATGTGTCTCTTTGTGCCGTTCTTTTACATCCAGCTCTTTGGCGAGCGCCGCGGCATCTTCAACGAATCCTTTAGTCCCTTTTACCTCGTCACCGTGCTCAATGTCGGCAGCGTCTTTGGCCGCATCCTGCCCAACGCCATTGCCCTGCGCTACGGTAGCCTCAACCTGATCCTGGTGTGCTTGGTCGTTAGTGCCATCCTGCTGTTTGGTTGGATGGGCATCGTGTCCGTCTCGGCGGGCGCCTCGGCCGTCAACGGCGCTGGCAGCGCGCACTTGGCCGGCACGATTGTCTTTGCCTTGCTGTACGGCATCTTCTCGGGCGGCATCGTCAGTCTCATTGCGAGCGTCATCATCAGCTTGACCAAGGACATGAGCCGCCTCGGCACGCGCATGGGCATGAGCTTTTTCGCGACGGGTATTGCCTGCCTCATCGGCCCGCCCATTGCCGGCTCGATCCTGGGCGACGGCTTCTCCGAGACCCAGTGGATGGGGATGGTTGGTTTTGCCGCCGCCGGCGTCACGCTCGGCACAGCCTTTTTCTTTGTCTCGCGCTACGGCGTGTGGCGCGAGAACAAGAGGGCTGTGGCATAACGGACGTGGCGTGCGACCAGTTCATCATCCGTCCAAAGTGATGCCCGGAGGCGATGTTGTGGGAAAGTGAACCGTGAGAGAGGATCCTGGTATCTTGTCGAGAATCATTGCCGCAAGCGTGGGCGCACCTAATCTTTTCATACTTTTCAGATTTTTGGGG